ATGCAAATTTTTTAGTTATAACATGTAAATTTATATAGTCGTAAATTAATATTTTTGGTTGCAAATGCGACCATTTTAGTTGCAATATGGAGCCCTGTACAATGAAAGTAAATTCAAATTAAACATTTCAAAGTGGAATAACTAGCTGTAGAATTGTTTTTCAGAGAAACAAGTATGTGAACTTTGCATGTTTCCTTAATATCTGCAAATACATTTAGGTAATTTCATGTTTTATTGCAGTAAAAAAATTACATACAGCGCCTTTAATAAAAAAAAGCAAACAAAAAATAAATAAATAACGTTTTAATTCTCCAAAGTCATAACTGGACATATCTTTCTGAATTAAATGTTTTGACAACAATGCATTGTTTTCATTGCATACCGCATACTGCTTCACATACTATTTGTAAAAAACAACAGATAGTGTGCAGTATACAGTGCACAGTATACACTAAGCCATCCAATAGTATTCTAAGTATAGGGGGCATCCTTCAAACTCTAGGTATAGAGAGCTTATGATTAAGTATGTTTTCCAGCTTGGCCCTGATTTTGCAGGTTTGAGATCTTGACTGTCTTCTTGTTCTGAATCCTATTTCCTTGAAAGAGTGCATTGAATAATGTATCATGTATAATGTCTTACGCTGACATCTGAGAACAGGTTTGAGCACAGATAGAGTAGAAAATATTTAACTTCTTCACTGATATAATCGAAGTATGTTTTTATGTATAACAGACTCTTGAATCTCAGTAAAAACGAGAGTTTTAAATACTCCAGGCTAATGAGCTCTACTGGCTTGATGGAGCTGACAAGAAACTAAGCGCACTAATTTAAAACCATCTGCATATGGTGCTAAAATCCTTTCAGCAATAAGCGAAGCAGCAACAGGAAGAGTCTGAAAATGGCACCATCGCATCTAATCATTTCAACCTTTTTATTTCACTAATCTGTTGTGGTTACATAATCTTTTGTCACAGTCTCAGCAGGGTCCTTCAAATTTAGTTTCAATTCATTGTTCGTGCCAGAGCACACAAAAGTATTCTAAGAATGTTAATAAGACAAAGGAAGATGGCAAGGTCTGAAAGTCTAGACTGGCACGATTCCGGAATTCCATTCTCGGAGACTCTTGAACAGTAAGTGAGAGTTCTATCTGTATTCCAGGCTGATACGTGCGGATAACCCTGCTGAAACTGCAGAGTGCATCCTCACTGTGTCCTGTTTCCACCTTCCAATAATGCCAACCTGTATTATGCAAAGGCAAAAGATGTTCTGTTGCTTGATTTCCCTGCATGTTTTCTTTAGCATCTGTTTTGTTTTCCCTCTTAGGCTTCCAGTCCCTCTCTTTCTTCCCTAATGATGACTGATGAGCTCAGTTTCAGCTCTGTGTGAAGTTCAGTGAACAACAGAAGAACAGCACACTGACATCTCTATCCCAAGTTCAAACAACAGACACGCATCTAGAGCCTCAATTTCACCGTCTTTCAGACATACAGATCTGTTCCCAACTGCCAGTCACTGGCAGTGTGATTATGCATTACATGCAAGAGTGAACTGCCTGAAATATCTCCATCACCTGACTTGGATGTCTAACCCTGCGCTTCGTAATTTTACCAACGGAAGCATCTACTTGAAGCGTTCTTTTAAAAGGACTCATCCAAAATTACTCTAAATTACTCTTTCACAGTTAACCACACTCTCTCTTTTTCTTTGGGTAACACACAACTGCAGACACACACACATGCGCACACACACTGCTTTACTGTAATTACCCACCATATGCTGTCCTGACAGGTACCTGCGTGAAAAGAGTATTTTGAAGTCTTTCGTCTTGATGGAATATTAACGCATAACAGCAAGCACACACATTAGGATGCTGCAGAGGGGAGTTTAATACATGTATAGCTTCTCTTGACAATAACAAGTCAGCAGGTTTTCTTATGTATCTTGGATGTTGCACAAGATTATGAAGTCAAGGGTGTAATTAGCGGTGCTCGCTAAGGAAAGCATCACTTTCCTATTCATCATACTTATGGTTAGTGATTTTCAAAACTCCATTTTATTAAAGGGATAGGATCCTCCACAGTGAATGGGTGCCGTCAGAATAAGAATCCAAACAGTTGATAAAAGCATTAATCCACAGGACTCCTGTCCATCATGTAAAGTGAAAAGCTGTGTGTTTATAGGAAACAAATCTATTAAGGCATTTTAACTTTAAACCATTGTTCTGGCCAAAATACCATAGTCCATAATCCATAATAACACTTCCTCCAGTGAAAAAGTCCACCCCCGCTGTTCTTCCACAACAAAATCCACCAACATATTTGTTTAGAACTGTTTAAGCTTTGTAAATGGTGCTTGATCTGTGCATATATTTCTCCTGAATCAGACAACATGATTTTTTTCACTAGAGGAAGCAAAATTATGGATTATTTTATTCAGAAGCAATAGTTTGAAGTTACATCTTAAAGATGAATTTGTTTATTACAAACATGCATCTTTTCACTTCACAAGACCTTAATTGATGGACTGGAGTGTTGTGGCTTACTTGCCACAACGAAAGTCCATATTGTGATGTTTTATCAGCTGTTTGGACTCTCATTCTGACGGCACCCATTCACTGCTGAGGATCAATTGGTGAGCAAGTGATGTAATGCTAAATTTCTCCAAATCCATTCCAATGAACAAAGAAACTCATTGGCATCCTGAATGCTATGAAGGTGAGTACATTTACAGCTAATTTTGGGTGAACTATTCCTTTAATGGGGTCCCATGTTGATTTGGACCACAGTGACTATGATTGGACTGGCAAAAACTATTGAAACATTCTTTAAAATATCTGCAAAATACTTCAGGTTGTTTAAGAAAAGTCTAACTTACAATTTTCAACAGGCATATGATAAAATTGTCAAAAAATCCATAGACTTACTTTAAAAAAGGCAAGCAGACCATTTCTAGAGGCGAAAATGACATAGAGACCACCTAGCAACCTTGAATATCATGACAAACACCTAGAAACCACACAGAATACAATGGCAACCACTTAAGAACCACCTGGAGCCCTATGGCAATGCCCTATGAAAAAAGCTTCTGCATTGTGGTGGCGAATTTTGTATGGACGAGCATCAGATTTTCCTCACAAATTATTTGGCTTTGTAGAGCACATACAAAATCAAAACTGGCAACAGCATTTCTGCTTTGGCTTGGGTGCATGCGCTTTCATTTGTGTCTGTGATGTAATGAACACAACATCCATCTACCATTGCACTTTGTTAATGCTTTCCACATGTATCATTTTTGGAGAGCCACCATGGATAACGCCTAATGGGATGTTCTCTATTATTGCCCCCTGTGTCATTGTTGTCACTTTCCTTCCAATATGATAGGTGCTATTTCCAGCCATTCCTGTGCTATTCTCAGCCATGTTACCTGTGGCAACCCAAGGTGTGACAGCCATACAGGTAGTCTCCCCTGCAGGACAAACCATAGTCACATGGGTATACGCCATCACGGTCTGGTAATATATGGACCCAGCAGCCCAGAGGACACCATGTCCCTCGAGAAGGATTCCTGTGGTGGGAGCTCTCTCTCCTAGTGCTAAAATAAAACACAGTCTCAGTTTTCATTTCTCAAACCTTAGACCTAGATGGGGGGAAAACAAGTTACCTAAATGTAGGATGTGATAAGACAGGATGGTACAAGTTCTTTCTGTTAGGACACCAAAACACTTTGGAACAAAGCGATAAAAGCTGACAGGCTTTGCTCGGTGAAATCAGTAAACTTTTATCGCACAAAAGAAATTCAGACAGACTCATTTTTACAACTGCACAATACGACTTGAGATGAAATACCGCCTGACTGTTTTGTGGTCGACCAATTATATTTGCTATGCAAGGAATTTCATCAGGATGTTAAACGCATCTTTTTTCATGCATGATCTGGGCTATTGGTCTGAACTTTAATTAAACAGCCCTTTGATTGTTACTGTTATCTCTACCAACCCTTCTTGAGCTCTATATGAAAAATAAACATCAGGACAGCCAAATTATGCCCTGCCATCTAAGTGGATCTGCACATTTTGTAGGTCTCCCTAACCTAACAAACCTGATTCAACCCATCAGATAGGGCACCTCCAAGACCTGGAAAGGGTGTGTCAAATGAGGGAGACTCCAAAATGTGCAGTTCTGTGAGACTGAGAACCAATGATCTAAGCATCAAAGCAGCCCAAGTGCTCTGACTGATCTAACCAAGGGGTTGCCCTTGTACGCTGTCCATGGTGCTGAGCAAGCAGATGAGCAGTTTGAAAGCAATATTGTGCTTTCAATGCAAAACTCAACAACAACAAAAAAACACTTGTGGAGAGGCACTGATATACAATGTGTGAAACAGGCTTTCCAAATTAAATGACAAAAAAAATGTCCAAATTCAGAAGAAAATCTTAAGTGTGTAAAGAATGAGTTTGCTCCTCTACTTAAAATTATATCAGTGTCTTTGCAGTATTTATGTGATATTGACAGTAGGACAAGTACTTTGAACAAGTACTATGAATTGTACATTTCTCATATAGAGCTGAACAAATTAAGCACACAACACTGAACATTTTAAAAAATGTAAACAGAAAGAACAAACAGTATAGAACTTTTAAAGTTGAGATGCAAATCACAAATTGTTATTTAGTACTAGGCATACGCATGGTGATTTTATTCCTATATTTTTCCTCGATTTGTTTTTTTTCGATTTTACTCACTTTGTATGATTCACTTTTAAGAAGCTAATTCCACCCTGACTTGCTCATTTCTAAACCTGATATTATTTAATAAATCATTATGCTTTTAATCTGTTGTCATAGTAAATATACTGTCATTTTCACAGTGCACTTGCTTTGACAAACATTTGTCTACTTAGACGACTTTCTGTCTTGCTTCAGGGAAAAAAACTGTCTCATTAGAAACCCCAAAATAGTTTTTGCATACAAATAGGGTAAAATGCCATCTCGGTAACTCACGTGTGCCGTCAAAACGCGTCGCTATAGTATCCAAAAATGTGTTCTGTGGCGCGAGCAATCCCTTCATGACAGGCATTTTCCCGCCCTGATATCGAATAACCCATCAAAGTGACGCGGCGTTGTCAGAGACAAAGGCAGAGACAGTTTGAAGCACTCCGGTGAAACCGAGCTTTCAGCGGACTGAGACGCGGAGAATCCCGTTCTCTCACAAGCGCGCGAGCAGGCTGGATTGGGATGCGCGCGCCCGTGGTACTGGGAGTGACGCCCATAGGTGCGCGTCAGGTAAATAGCGCGCGAGCAGTCTATACAAGTGGCGCGTGAGATCGGAGATTCAAGCGGTTGTGGATCCCAATATAGTTTAATAAACCTAAAAACGACTATATTTATGTTCTTCAGGAATATAATATATAGGCTATTATTTTGTAAGGGAAAAATTAAATGACAAAAAAGATTCAAATTCAGAAAAAAAGTAGGCCTAATAACCTGTGAAGCCTGACATATGAGCAGGGGCGGACTTACCCAGTGGTGGACGAAGTACACAAATCAAGTACTTGAGTAAAAGTACAGATCCGTATTACAAAATATTACTCCAGTAAAAGTAAAAGTACTCAGTTTTCAATTTTACTCGAGTGAAAGTACAAAAGTACTTGATTTTTTATGTACTTAAGTAAAAAGTACCGCAGTTTTATATAGGCTACTTTTATTATTTAATTTTATATTAGCATATATTTTTTTATAACCCTACTGCTCAAAATACCTGGGATTTTCCCAAAATAACCAATAAGGAAATAATGAATATAATGGTTTAAACGCTCAATTGTGAGGTTTATCATTTAATAATTTATTTTGTTTTTGTGAAAACCTGTATCTCAACTGTAAAGCAGTTGCTATTTCGTGGTCTACAATATGAAAGAAACCCATTATAATGTACATTAAAACATGTAGAAACATTGGACACAACTATGGGGCACCATTGTGCAGCAGCAAGCATCACAACACAAAAGGAACCTCAAGGTTGATCTAGGAAAATGTGCGCAAATGTATAGTGCCCCATTCCTATATTCTACCTGGGGCCCCCAATTCACTAAATCCGCCCCTGCATATGAGAGTAAGTAAAATCAGTAAGAAAAAAAATTAAACAGTTTATCGAACAAATTATTATTAGACAAAATATATTTCCAAAAACCCAGTTTTATTCAGAGGCCCAGACTGCAGTTGCTGATATTTCAATGGCCAAAAAGTAAGGTGCAATTCTGATGGCTTGTAATGTAAATCAATGAAATATTTGTAAAAGTATAGCAGATTACTTACATAAAAAAATATATAAACACACACATACATACGCACATATACATATATATATATATTTGTAGAGGCACAACATAGCCTATGCAATCCAGTACAGTGATGATTGAGGGATGAATCAACATATAAACAATAAACATTCCTCAAAAGCCTGAGGTATTGATACTAACATTTTAACATGATCATTCACACATAGGTTTTTTTTGTTGTTGTTAAAAATCAAGTAATTCTAAGTTGCTTCAGTCCTACATGTTCATATTACTATCTAGGCCTTAGAAATATGCATATCAAATATGATACAGTAGGCTTTATAGGGTTAAAGTTTAGTACGCAACTTACCCACTTTTGTGCATTGTTATCATAAAGGTAATTAATCATTTTTACAGTATGGCCTAGTTCAGTCAGTGTTGAGCACCATGTAGTGTGTCCGTTTCACCTCACGTTAATACAGTAACACAGCTGGTCTCAGCTGGTTGCATACAGAGAAAGCTTTTAGGGTCTAAGCAGGTCCTGGAAGCCCCCCAAAACTGGACATCTGACACACCTCCTGTGTCCAAATATGCATACTTACCTACTGTTTACTATGCAAAAACCAGTACATCAAATAAGCTGAAGGTTCAAATGCACTGTTCTTAGTTGTAAGACACACTGTAGATATAAAATGGAAAAGATAATGCCATGGCTGATGTAATATGTCTGAGAATAATATAGCATACTACAAACCTGCATGAGTTTAATCAGGTGTGTTTGATTAGAGAAACATGCAAAATGTGTAGGTTAGGAGGCCTCCAGCAATAGATCTGAGAAACACTGTAGGCTTACTAATGTATTTTGAAAACAACATTACTAGCCTGTTTGTTAAAAAGAAAAGACATTATCAATGCAGGGCCTATTCGAACAAAGGATTGGGAAATTATAGATTTTTTTTCTTTGCAATGTCCATCAAAACTGCAGAACAAAAAGTAGACCAAAGAGAAATGAGATGAAGTGTGCATACATTGCACGAGTCAATAAAGACGACGATTTTTTGTTAAACATATTACACGGAGCAGGCCATGTCGCCCTCTGCTGTTTATACTATCACAATACCACACATTCACCTTCTACTACTACAATACATATTGCCACAAGTGCTGAGGCAGTGTTGAAAACACTATTCAAATAAATAGCAATTTGCTGTACAGTAATGTGACATAACAGAGGATTAATTAAGAATTTTCTTATATTATTATGGTAATATTCTCACCATTATTGCTGTTGCTGCTGTAGGGTAATTGTTGAGATATGATTAGTCACTGGAGAGCTGACTTGACAAATTGACAAATACTATAATCCAATCATGTGTCTGTCTCTGTTTCTTGTGTACTGATGTATGCTTATCACAGTAGTGAAAAATTTAATCATTCTGTTGCAGGATGTATTTGTAAATATGATGAAAATAATGGTTTTATCGAATGCGTTTTGATTGTAAATATGCAAGCTCATGCAAATAAAGACACAAATGAAGCACTGTTCATTATGATTAAGCTTATGGAAAAGAATGATTGCCACATACGGTGACTGTCATGTGTACAGGTGCAAACAAGCGTTAATCACAGAGATCACTTGATGAGGCTGATTAACAGTTTTTTGTCAACTGAAACAATCATTATATTGCCTACTACTCAATACTCACAGCTTTTATACACATGTTGTCAAGCCTCTATTACCTATTTTTTAGACTATAATAGATTATAGTGAAATGTTAAGTACACCCCATGAAAAATTGCATATCAGATTTTTTTATGTTTTTGAAAGAATTCACTTGTGCTCACCAAGTTTGCATTTATTTAATAAAAAAAAAAAAAGTAATACTGTTAAATTTTATTACAGTTTAAAATAATGTTTTCTATTTTATTATATTTTAAAATGTAATTTGTTTTTGTGATGGTAAAGCTGAATTTTCCACAGTCATTACTCCAGTCTTCAGTCACATGGTCCTTCAGAAATCATTCCAATATGCTGACTTTGTGCTCAAGAAACATTTCTTAGAATTATCAATTTTGACAGTTGTGCTGGTTAATATTTTTGTGGAAACCACGATACATTAATTTTTTTCAGGATTCTTTTATGAATAGAATAGAAACCTTTTAACATTGTAGATGTCTTCACGGTCACTTTTGATCAATTTTATGCACTCTTTCTAAATAAAAGTATTAATTTCTTTCAAAAACAATATTACAGACCTTTTGAACCATTTAAGGCAACAAAATTTAACAAACAACAGTTGGTTAAATTAATGTTAAATTTAAACCATAAATTTCCATTTCATCTGTGAAAAAGTTAGTACAACCAAACATTCATCACTAAAAACTAAAATGACTACAATTTCAATCAAATGCAAAATAGTAGAGCGTCATTAAAGATGAAGTTCCCACATTATATAAACTTCAATTAACTCATCTGGTCACATGGGCGTAGCTTGTGGGGGGTCCAGAGGGGCCTGTCCCCCCTAGCGACTGAAAAGTAAATATGTATACAATGTAGTTATTTTCATACATTTTAAATTGTTATTTTGTAAATAAATTAATAAATCAAATCAAACTTACTAATGCCTCCCGTCTCATTTGCGTAAGTTGTGGCGTGACGAATCTTCATTTTGGTGGATATTAGTATTATTATAGCATACTGCTTGCCCTTACATGGCGTGAATGAATATTCAGTGTTCTTTACAACAACTTCAGAGAAATCTGGACCTAACCAAAATAAAGTCAGACAAAGATGACCTGGACAGTCTCATAAAGGTGATCCACAGGACGCTCCGTAGCAGCTCCGTGTTCTACATTTACGTCAGGAAGAGCACTATTTACATCCAGATGTTATTTGATTTACACTAAACAAAACCTAGACATAGATTTAATAATATAAACTACTTAATCTGCCATTTTTAGTAAGATTTACCAAATAGGCTATGAAGTATTTGTTTTGCGATGAACTTGAATCATGTCCAACAGATATCTGATTTAAAGCAGTGGGTGAGAAATGTACTCCTTGATTTGTTTAATAAAAGCATACTTTGATATTCTGTTGAAAAACATGCTTATAGTGCATTATTTTCAACGTGTTTATTTCAATTAAATAGCCTTTACTCATCAATGCTGTCCAACTGTATTTCTAGTATCCATATGGTCAAGGACAAAACATTTCCTGGGTGTTCTTACTCTTTCATAGCTCTCTTCTTTCCGATATAAGCCAATCAAAATGTACGACTAGTCAAAGTTGTACATTGGATATTTGAAATTAAGAGTCTTTAATACTGAAATATCGAAAATGCTCGGGACATCAATTATTAAACGTTAAATTGGCTTGCCATACTGTAACAGTCATGTATTCTGACAGGAGGCACTTCCGCTGGAAACTGATTGGTCCGCTCCTGGTGACATCACACTGATGATGCTTTGTGGGGCCGCCTTGAGATTTAATTACGGGTCTGTGTTCGCGCATGATATTATACGAGCCGTTTTTCCTCATTGTTAGCCTTATTTTATTGATTTAAATGTCTCTGGTTTTTCCGTTTGTTAAGACCCTTCTTTATGAAATAAAACCCGCTCTCGAGTCGCTTGTCACCAGACCCGTGCGTTGATTCTGGAGCCAGTGTTTTTGTTAGTGAGCGATCCTGGGACGCGCGCTCGGTCTGTCGGCATGTTCGGATACCCGTCTGCAGGATTATAACCACCGGAAAACAGCAGTGCAATCAATAAAGTAAGTGATTGAAATAACATGGCATAAAAAGAAGACGAGATGATGATGTGTCATAGGTTGAGCATAGCCTATATGCAGCACCTGTAGCAGCGCTTCAATGCTGAACAAAAAAATGTTTAAGCCAGCCTAAGATGGTTTGCTGGTCGTTAG